ATTATTATTATTATTATTGTTATTATTATTACTATTACCATACATCAATCACAACTAATCATTAGAGGTAATAACAAAACACAGCGATAGTGATAAAAAATAATCACAATAATAAACAATAATAATTAATAATATACATTAATAAATATTAATAATAATAATAAATAATAATAATAAATAATAATAACTAACCAATATACCCCTTCTCGGCAGGTATCAAAAAGAACAAACTCGAATGCTCTTTACATTCATCAATTTCATCTGCGATATAAACCCGTTTTCGCTCGTTCTTTGCTTTTACTATACAATTCGGTATTATTCTGCAAACCAATTAATTATAATTAATTAATAATTAATATAATAATAATAAATATAATAAATATAACAACAATATATAATAATAAATAATAACAAACAATAATAATAAATACAGTTCTTCGGTACTACTCTGCAAGCGAACTATTCATTATAAAATATATAATAATAATAATAAATAATGATAAATATAACAATAATAAATAAATATAATAAATAATAATAAATAATGATAAATTTAATAATAATAAATAAATATAATAAACAATAATAAATATAATAACATAATAATAATAATAATAAATAACAACAATAAATAATAATAATAAATACGATAATAATAATAATAATAATAATAAATACAATTTTTCGATATTACTGTGCAAGCGGACTATTCATTAAAAAATATATAATAATAAGAATAATAATAATAAATAATAATAAATATAATAACAAATATAATAAATAATATAAATATAATAAATAACAATAAATATAATAATAATAATAATAAATAACCTCGGCGAATCGTCCTCCGCATAACCCACTTTAATCGTTCCAACACCATTGTCAACGATTAAAGTTCTGGACATTTCCTACAAATCATTAATTAATTAATTAATAATAACAATAATAATAAATAATAAACAATAATAATAACAATAACAATAATAAATAATAAAAACAATAACAATAAATAATAAAAATAACGAAATTCAACGGATTCCAAACCGTTACCTTCAATAAATCAATCCAAACCCCAAATATATTTATCCAGTTACTATTATTAATACAATTTTTCAATATACATTAATAATAATAATAATAATAATAATAATAA